TGAATGGCATGGTGCATGTGATCAAAGACATCAAGTTTGGATCCCAAATTAATTATTCTTGTAATAAAGGGTGAGTTGGCAGCAACATCTCTTGGTTCAAGAGTTCTGGCACAGCCATACACCTTCTAGCCACATCTCAGAAAGGACCCCTAAGCTATTAACATCTTCTCTTCAAAGGCTTGAACACAGGTGTTTAGCTCCTAACTGAAATGAACGAAGGTATGACAAGATCGGGGAAAATCATCCGTATCCTTGCTGGAAACCAAGGCAGTGCATATATGAAAAGTGTGGCATTCGTTGGGTAAGAAGGAAGAAAATGGGGGAAGATTGCAGTCAAAGCACACAAACAGCCCTAACCCAGGGCTGGAAGAAAGGGCAGGCCATTGAGCAGCTGTGCGAGAGAAATCTTAATGGTCATAGCACCAGCCGTTTGCTAGGACTACTGTAACCGAGTACTCCAAAACCAGCAGCTTAATACAAATGAAGTTTTTGAAGTTCTGTTCTGGAGGCTGGAAGTCCAAAATCAAGGTGTTGGCAGAGCCATGCTCGCTCCAAAACCTGTAGAGATGGATCCCTCTTTGCTTTTTCAGCTTCAGGAGCCCCAGGCCTTCCTTGGCATGTGGTAGCAGAACTGGAATTTCCCTCTCTGTCCTCACACGGCCGTCTTCCCGCTGGGTCTGTGTCTGCACATGCTGTTCTCCTGTCTGTGCATGTCAGTGTCCAAAGTTCTCTCTTTCAATAAGGACACCAGTCATATTGGATTAGGGACCACACTAACGACCTCATCTGAACTTGATTGCCTCTGCAAAGAGTGTATTTCCAAATAAGGTCACACTAACAGGAACGTCTATAGGGAGAAGATGTCTATATATTTCAGGGGCGAGGGGGACAAAATTCTCATTCATTGCTGGTAGGAATGCAAAACGGTACCATAACTTTGAAAGACAGTTTGGCTGTTTTTTTTTTAATAAAACTAAACATACTCTACCTTATTATCTAGCAGTTATCCTCCTTGGTATTTATCTGAAGAATTGAAATCTCATGTTCACACTCACAAAAAGATCTGCACACAGATGTTTATAACACGTTTATCCATAATTCCCAAAACTTGGAAGCAGTCAAGGTGTCCTTTAGCAAGGGAATGGATAAACTGTGGTACATCCATACATCCATATTATTCAATACCAAAAAGAAATGAGCTACTGAGGCTGGGCATAGTGGCTCAGGCCTGCAATCCTAGTACTTTGGGAGGCTGAGGTGGGTGGATCACCTGAGGTCAAGAGTTCAAGACCAGCCTGGCCATCATGGTGAAACCCCATCTTTAAAAAAGAAGAAAGAAAAGAAATGAGCTACCAAGCCATGAAAAGACATAGAGGAACCTTACATAATGAAACTTCTTTCACTAAGTGAAAGATGCCAATCTGAAAATGCTACAGAACATGATTCCAACTATATGCCATTCTGGAAAAGGCAAAACTATGGAAAGAGTAAAAAGATCAGTGGTTGTCAGGAGTTAGGGAAGAAGAGGGGTTGAATAGGCAGAGCGCAGAGGATTTTCATGGTAGTGAAACTACTCTGTATGGTGCCATAACAGTCGGTACATGTCATAATAAACGTATCCAAAGTCTTATGATGTACAATACCAAGAGTGAACCCTAATATAACATGTGGGCTTAGGGTGACGATGATGGTTCAGTGTAGATTCATCAGTTGCAAAACATGTACCACCCTGGTGAAGGATGTATATAATAGGGGAGGCTATCCATGTAGGCACAGGTAGTATATAGGAAATCTCTGTATCTTCTGTTCATTATTGCTGTGAACCAAAAACTGTGCTAAAACACAAAGTCTATTTTCTTTTTAAACTGCATAAATGTAAAGACACAGGAACATGTGCATAAACAGACATGCACTCAAATACGTACAGGTGAAACCGGAAATCTGAACAAAATTGGTGGATCACATCTGTCTCAATATCTTGATTTTGATGTTGTACTATTGTTTTGCAAAGTGTTAGGAAAGGGGAAAATTAAGTAAAGTGTACCTGGGATCTCTGTCCTCTTCCCTACAACTGCATGCAAACCTGAGTATCTCAAAATAAAAAGGGGTGTTTTTTTTTAAGTTCCTACTAAATTTCCAAAGGGATGGGTTTCCTACCAAAGAATTGTATATTGTGAAGTTAAATAATTCAAACTTACAGCTGGGGGAACTTTCAATGATTCTGAGCCCTGGGAGGACTGTGGCTATGCAGCAGGCAGCTGTAACTTCTGCCTTTTTTTCCTGTAGTTAAAACCAAATGGTGCCAGAGATAAGACCCCCTCAGATCACTACCCCTTTTCAGAGAGTAGTAAAGTAATCTTCCTTGGAATGTAGTACTCTATAACCAATCAAAGTGCTGTAATTATGCATGGTCTCATATGGAAAATGTAATTCTGCTAAAAATTTCTCTGTCTCTGCCCACGTAAGTGAGACCTTACATTCTCTGCTTTGGAGTGCTGACCTCATTCTTTTGGAGTTGGTGTCTTCCTTAGCTTTATGCTCAAATAAGCTCTATCCTTAAATATATTTTCTGAATCTCATGATTTAAGGTTGAAAATGTGCTAACCTAAATCATTCACAGGATTTGTTTTTTATTTTATTTTTTCCTAGCCCATCCACCTGGTTCAAGGCACTTAAGACAGAAAATGGAAATGAGACTCATATCCCAAGCTTCACTGTCCCACTCTGGGCCCTGGGGAGAAGACTCCCAAGAGTCTAGACATAGTTATCCATATGCCATATGTGGTTTCTGGTGATGAAATGATCATGGCTTTTCCTGAACTATGGCTTAACTTTATGAAGCCACAACTCTCTCTTCCCCAGGAAATCGAAAAAGAAAGGGTAGGATGTAAAGGCTTCAATCTGTTCAAATGATTATGAAAGTCCCTGGCTCCCTTTGAAATAAGTATCATGGGTTTTATCTCTCTGCCTTACTTCCTCATAAACATTCTGAATGAGAAAAGTTCAAACAATTATTTGTTTAATTTTGTAATCTACTTTGGGAGACAAGTTCAATAAATTAAAATATTCTTTTATCTGTTCCCCTTGATCAGTGAACATAAAGTTATCTTTTGACTCATATTTAATATGTTCAGTACTGCAACACTGAACAATAGTATGGAGGAACAGATGCCAACGTCAGTTTGAACCTGCTTGATCATTCCTATGCCCGCACACCATGATTAGAAAATCAAAAGAACATTTTGAGAAATAACCTCAGTGAGGTCAAAAGCCAGAGAGGCTCCAGGATCCCTTGTTCCTAAGACAAACAGGCAGAAGGGGGTACACATATAGGAATGCGGCCCTTCTTCACTTCATTTGTTCACATCCTTCATGCTTATGTGTGTGTGTCTGTTGGCAGTGCAACTGAGAATGTTTTCACTTTGGTGTTATACTAGAAGGCATTAGAAAGCAAAATGAGGCCAGTGTGGTAGCTCATGCCTGTAATCCCAGCACATTAGGAGGGGGAGACAGGTAGATCACCTGAGGTCAGGAGTTCAAGACCAGCCTGGTCAACATGGTGAAACCTTGTCTTTACTAAAAATACAAAAATTAAGCGGGCATGGTGGCATGTGCCTGGAATCCCAGTTGCTTGGGAGGCTGAGGCAGGAGAATCACTTGAACCTGGGAGGTGGCAGTTGCAATAAGCTGAGATCCTACTATTGCACTCCAGCCTGGGTGACAAGAGTGAAACTCCATCTCAAAAATAATAACAAAAAAGTCAAAATGACATTGAAGTCATTAATAATTACAACATAATCACTACTATAATGTTAACAGTGCGTCAAGTGTCTTCAAAAGCACCCACTGTTCTCTCACTATTCACTTGATCTCCATTTGGCACTGTTTTGTTGCTTGAATAAAGCTCGATGCTGCCAGGTTTTCCCACACATTCATGAAGCAAGTTCTCAGCTCTCCCTGTAACCATGACTGTTATTTGACATTGCGTCCTTCCTTCACGTGTAGTACTACCAAGTTTGATCCAACCCTCCCTATGGCCAGTTAGACCCAACCGTCCATCACAACAGAGAGTCTCCGGTGAAGTAAAGCAAATGTCATGAATTCTTCCAAATGTATGGCACGCTTTGAACACTTTGAGACATAGTAATTGAGAATTGCTGACTTTAACATTTCAAGTATAAAATAAGTGTTCAATTCTTTTTGGTCAGCTTAGATTTTCCTTGATTCTAGTTATGAATCATTTTCTTCTTTCTCTTTCTTTCCTTCTTTCTATCCTTGTCTCTCTTTCTTTCTTTTTTTTTTTTTTGACACGAGGTCTTGCTTTGTTCCCCAGGCTGGAGTGCAGTGGCATGATCAATGCTCACTGTAGCCTCAGCCTCCCAGGCTCAAGTGATCTTCCTGCCTTGGCCTCCTGAGTAGCTAGGACAGCAGGAATGTGCCATCATGCCTGGCTTTTGAAAAATATATTTTTTTGTAGAGACAGGGTCTCACTATGTTGCCCAGACTGGCCTTGAACTCCTGAGCTCAAGCAATCCTCCTGCCTCCGCCTCCCAAAATGCTGGGATCATATGCATGAGGCACCGATGAATCTTACTGATAAACGCCCATCCATGCATCCATACATTAATACTTGCAAAGCATAGAAAGACATACAACAGGACTACATACATCAGTATATATATGACGGCTTCCCTGCACTCAAGAAGCTTGTGTGATCTTTTTTTAAAAAATGAAACTTATAGGAAAAACTGTAATTCATCTTTGATTTATATAAAAATGTGTCATAATAAAGAAAAGACAGCTCATCCGAGAAGCCATGGAAAAGAAAATCAAAAGGTCCTGAGAAGAATGTGAAATTTGGGAAGGTTATACATAGTCCTTTGATAAGTGGAAAACGTTCCTCTGAATTCTATAAGACTGCAGTCTCTGGAAGTACTGATTTAACGGGGAAGTTGACGTGACCTCTTTAGAACCTAACATTCCTTATTATTTGCCTCTAGATACCGACTCATTGGTTCTTCATCCGCCACATGCATCGCCTCAGGCAATACTGTCATTTGGGATAATAAAACACCTGTTTGTGACAGTGAGTTGAAATATCCCTTCCCATTTCTTTTATTGATACATTCTAATTTTTCTCTGGAATAATAAAAATCTTAACCGAATTCCTCTGTGCAATTTGTCCTTCACATGGCTGAAGACAACTTTAATGTTCTCAAATATTCCTGTGGGGTTCCTGGCAACTCTTTCCTTAAGTTCTTACTTATCCTGGGATGTGTCTTTTCTAATTCTGAGAGCTTAAGTACCTAAAAGCCTTCAAACTTGATTTTACTTCAATAAATTTGAAATTATGTTGGTTCTACCACCTCCAGGGTAATAATCGTCCTGCTTGGCAAATCAGTAAAGATTTTTAAAACTGATGCTCTTCAAGGTTAGAGAAGCTTCAGAAGAACCTGGACTCCCATGTACCATAAGATCAACGCATCCTCTTGAAAGACACCATACACTGTAAACCTCAGAAGTAGGCATATATTTTGACCTACTACTTAGGAAATAAACACAAACTTCTTAAAGCAGTTTGGTGTAAACTTTTCATTGCAGCATGATTTATATTAGTTAAAATGTTGGAGTAACCTATATATTTTAAACTATGGTTTGGAAATGATCTACTAGAAAGAGGTATTCAAAATGTCCACTATAAAGAATTCCCTAAGAAACATAAAATAGCTTTGCAGAATAGAAAAAAAAGTATATCCATACACGGGCATATTATTAAGCCATAAAAATGCATCAAGAAGCACTTAATGGCTAGAAAGAAATGTGTTTTATGTGGAAAAGGAATCAGATGAATGGCATGTATAGCATGATCTCATTTTATGAAAAAATAATACACCTAGGTAGTGGAGGGCCAGGCTGAGGCTGAGAGAAATACAGTGTGTAACATCTTACTGTTCTCTTTGGATAACTTGGGGACTTCTTTTCTTCTTGGTATTTAAAAATGTTGTTACTTTTACTAAAAAGTTTATGAGCTTCAGAATCTAAGTTTATCAATGACACTGCTCACATATTTATTGCTGTTTATCTAGTTAAGAAATAGTTTTGTTATTTTGTAAAACAAATTGGGAAACTTCCATCTTATTTTAAATGTGTAATAAGATAACACGGAATTGGAATAAGAATTTTCTTGGAAATATGAAAAAATACTATTAGTAAAAAATAGAGAAAACAAACAAAATAATACACCTAAAGCTATACTTATACCTATACATATACCTGTATTCTCTGTTTCTAGTTCTGTAAACTTTCTATATCCAAATGCTGGTAAATGGCTATAAGTCTTCTTGGTGAAGGCTAGGGGAAGATTTACAATACCTTCTTTTGACTGTGTAGCATGATGCTTCCTCAAAAGGATCCAGTCTCCCATCCATTCATGCTGCCCTGAGTCTATAGACTATTCAAGTCTAGGAATTGTGGATGTACGATGAACTTCTTTTGCAATGATTCAAGTCAGAATTCTATTCACTTGACCTAAATCTCTTCTACTCATACAAATCAAGTAACACTTTAGTCCGCTATCCATCTACTTCAGTTTTAGAGACTCCATGATCAATTAGCCAGTAACAAAGTTCTCTTCAGTCAAATCATTCTGATTGCTGTTTCAACTCTAATACCCATTACAAGAACCCCCATTGTCTGTGACAATTAAGTGCTGCCACTTGGACTCTGCCACCCTGAGGTCCTTTGATCCCCAAGTGAATTCAGAGAACCCAGTTCAATGGCAACAGTTCCCACTATCATTCCCAGCCTACAGAGAATGAGCTGTCACAGAGGATGCTGAAACTTCCCATGTGAATGTACTTCTCAAGCCTCAGGTAAAAGGTCTATCCTCTGAACCCTCCACTCCTGCACTGTGCCTCACCAACTCTATCCAAGGATGACTTTCAAAGTGGAATGGCTGTTATTTAACTTCTGCCTGTCAAATATCAGGCTGATTTCTCATGCTGTAACCCTAGTCCAGAACCATACAGAGAAATTGGTCTGGAAAACTTAATTCCAGATGAGTCTGGTTGACACTTTACCAAACCACCACCTAATTATAATTTTATTTAACTCTGTGTCTTTTCTTTGTTTCCTTCCCTCCTTCCTTTCTCCCTCCCTCCCTCCAACCCCTCCCTCCCTCCTTCCCTCCCTCCCTCCCTCCCTCCCTCCCTCCCTCCCTCCTTCCTTCCTTCCTTCCTTCTTCCTTCCTTCCATTTTCTTTCTTCTTTACCACACTGGCTAGGACTACCAGTATAACCTTAAACATTGGTAGCAATAGATGCCATCCTTGACTTGTTCCACATCTCAAAGAGAAAGATTAAAACATTTCAGGCCAGGCGCGGTGGCTCACGCCTATAATCCCAGCATTTTGGGAGGCCGAGGCGGGTGGATCACGAGGTCAAGAGATTGAGACCATCCTGGTCAACAAGGTAAAACCCCGTCTCTACTAAAAATACAAAAATTAGCTTGGCATGGTGGCGTGTGCCTGTAGCCCCAGCTACTCGGGAGGCTGAGGCAGGAGAATTGCTTGAACCCAGAAAGCGGAGGTTGCGGTGAGCCGAGATCCTGCCATTGCACTCCAGTCTGGGTAACAATAGCAAAACTCCGTCTCAAAAAACAAAAATAAAATAAAAAAACATTTCACCATTAATCTGGTGTTTACTATAGGCTTTTTGTAGATAACCATTTTTAAATTAAGGACATTCTCAGATATTCTTCATTATTAAAAATTTTTGGTCTTTGAATCATGTGGAAGTTTATCAAACACTTTAGTTACATATATCGATGTAACCATATCTGTTTCTTTTTTTTCTGTTAATGTAATAAATTGTTTTGAGTACATTTTTGAAAGGCAAATGATTTTGAATTTTAAGTTTACATTCTTAAAATAAATCAACTTTGTCATAATATTTAATCATTTTTATATATGGCAAATATGCTTTTATAATACATTTTGAATGTTTCTATTAAAGTACAATTGATGTATCATGAAAGTTGCTTTTTTTAAATTACACAATTCAGTGGTGTTTAGTATATTCACAAATTTGTGTGTTGTGGTCTGAATCTTTGAGTCTACCACAAACCCATATGCTGAAATCCTTACCCATAAGGTTATGACATGAGGAAGTGAGGCCTTTGGAAGGTGATTAGGTCATGAGAGCAGAGCCCTCACAAATGGGATTAGCGTCCTAATAAAAGAGGCCCAGAAGAGCTCCTTTGCCCCTCCCACCAGGGAGGAAATGCTGAATCTGCCAGAGCATTGGTCGTGAACTCCCCAGCCTCCATAACTATGAGAAATAAATTTCTGTTGTGTACAATACTATAAAACCAGTTTATAGTATTTTGTTATAGCAGCCCAAATAGACTAAAACATTAGGCAACCAAGACCGCTAATTAATTACAGAACACTTTGATCATCCCATTCCTATTTTAGAGATTAAACTGTAATTTTCTTTCTTGTAATGTCCTTATAAGATTTTAAGGACATTATGAAATACTACCGGCTGGCTTCATAAGACTGTCATAAGTTTGATACCTTATGACAGTCTTATGAAGCCAGCCGGTAGTGTTTCATGTATTTGTTTCCTTGGAAGGGTTTATGCAAGATTGGTATTATTTCTTCTTTAAATGTTTGAAAGAATTCACCAGAAACACCCTATGGCCTGGAGTTTACTTTGTTGGGAGGTGTTTTTTTTTTCAACAATTTTTCCTATATCATGTAGACTTTTTGCTTAAGTATAACATATATATAGTAAAGTGCACAAATCTTAATTAGGCAGTTCAGTGAATTTTTACAAAGTAAATGCATCCATGTACATGGCACTCAGATTAAGATATAGAACATCAACAATCCAGAAGCCTTCTTTATTTCCCACTTATTTTCCCAAAGTAACCATTATTCTGATTTATAACACTAATAATTAGTTTTGCTGCTTCCTAAATTTTATATTAAAGGAATAAAAACATAGGTACTCTTTTGTGTCCAGCTTCTGCTCAGTGTTCCATTTGGAAGAGTCACTTTTGTTTTTGCATGAAGGATTGTTAGGTCATTTTTATTATTATGTTGCATTTCATTGATTATCTTGAGTACCTTTTCATATGTTCGTGAAGTGCCTATACCAAACTTTTGCCTGTTATTTACTAGTCTGTCTATTGTTTTATTGTTTTGTAGAAGTTCTTTAAATATTCTCATATTTTCTAATAAATATAACACAAATATGTTTTTTCAGACTATGGCTTTTCTTTTCTCTTCTTAATGATGTCTTTTGTTGATGGAAGTTCTACATTTTAATAATATTCAATTTATGGATTTTTTTTTCAGTAACTGCTTTTTTTATTCTACTTAAGCAATTGAGCCAGATGAGGTGGCTCACGTCTATAATCCCAGCACTTTGGGAGGCCAAGGCAGGAGGACTGCTTGAAGCCAAGAGTTGGAGACCAGCCTGGGCAACAAAGTGAGACCCTGTCTCTACAAAAATAAAATAAAATTAGCTGGGCTCAGTGGCACATGCCTGTAGTCCCAGCAACTTGGGAGGATGAGGTCGGAGGATCCCTTGAGCACAGGGGTTCAAGGCTGCAGTGAGTTACGATGGTGCCACTGCACTGCAGCCCAGGTGACAGAGTGAGACTGTTTCTTATGGATAGGCAATTGATCTAATAACTTTTATTAAAAAGACTATTCCTTGCATACTGCAATGCAATAGCACCATGCCCATAAGTCAGGTGACCTTATATGTGGATCTCATTCCAGAGAGTTTCTATTCCATTGGTTTATTTGCCATATATTAGTTGTTGTTTTTTTCCATGTTATAACAGCAAATAAACTATAGCATTACATTAAGATGTTAATTACTATAGCACTACATTAAGACTTTATATCTGGTGACATATATCTTTTATTTTATTTTATTTTTTTTGATATGGGGGCTTGGTCTGTCACCCAGGCTGGAGTGCAGTGGTGCGATCTTGGCTCTCTGCAACCTCTACCTCCTGGATGCAAGCAATTCTCCTGCCTCAGCCTCCAAAGTAGCTGGGATTACAGGCACC